CTCGTATATATATATATATATATATATATATATATATATATCCCGTGCAAAATAAAAATGTTCCATATCCCACTTTTCCACAACAGCAAAATAAAAATGAAAATAACATAACTCCCTCTTCAGAATACTGCAGTTGTGACCACGTATTTATATCAATTATGTCCCAAATAGAGAGTTCATGACGCCACATTGTCATCAAACTTCCCATTAAATGCTTTTAATAAATATAAAATAAAAGAAGAATCAGGTCCTAAAAACGTTTTTGGCAAAGTGGCACCAAAATGTTTTTTTTTTTTTTTAAGCTGCGCCACTTCGCATCAATGCCTGGATGTGGTCCATGCTACCCGCGGTGCCCCCCGGTCAATTTCTAGTGGCACGGTGGGCGGCCACCACATCCAATTTCAATTTCAACGTTCGGCATGCCAGTTAGATGGGATCTGCCGCTGCCGGCCTCTGAAAAATGGCCAAAAATACTCTTGCAGGCATTCGCCCTCCTAAGTTAAAAAAGTTAGCGGCATACTGGTACAGCGAACGGCACAGCCTTTGGCCCAGCTGTGGGACCTTTCATCATAACAAAACTAAAAACAACAACAACAACGAAGCCGTGCTGTCATTTCCTTTCTCGGGGACAAGTGTATAAGGAAGGGGGAAGGTGGGGCCAAGGCCAATCTCAAGGTGAGGGCCCAGAGGTGGGAGGCATACCGAGGCCGGACAAATCAGGAGGATCCCCATTGCGGCGACGTTCTTGAGACAGAAGGTGTTCGTAAATAATAACAATAAGTTTCCCATCGCGACTACTGCTGGTAGGCAAACCGAGGTTGTGTAAGCCAAAGTAAAAAGACATGTGTAAGAGAGTTACTTCACTGACTGTATCCTTGCAGGTTAACTTACTTCGATGTCAAAACTTACCTCTTGCGACCAAAAACAAATGTAACAAACAAAACAAAATTGAAAGACAAACATATTATTATTGTGGGACAAACCCACCAGACATGTTGTCGGTCACAACATTCCCTTCATAAGCTTTCAACATCTGCCACCCCCCCCACCAAACCAAAAAAAAAAAAAACTATCGGAAGCAACTTCATTCACATTCACACTTAAAAATACAACGCCTCCGTAATAAAGCAAACAAAATTTTTTTGTTTTTGGGCATCGTCACGCCACGTTGTATGACTTGAGTCGCGTAAGCAAATTAAGACGCACAAGGAAAAGGGACATGTGTGGGCGCGTGCACGCACTACGCACCCGCTGCAATAAGCAACAATCCGTCCCACATCTCCCCAACTTCGTAACCCGCACATAAGCAGAAATGTAGAAGACAAAAATAAACTTTTCCTGCCATTTCATCCTTTCGGAGGGGGTCGCACAGCATCACTTGTTACCATGTAACACACCCCCTCCCCACGCTGCCGGCTCACTTACGTGAGCCGGCAAGTCTCTCTGCGCCATGTCCGAAACACCAACGCACGAAGAAAAGAAAGAAAACCAAAAGTAAACAAATACCGTTGAAAACAAACACCACAAAAAACAAACTGCCTCAGGGAGAAAAGCACAATACAAACGTGCATAGGCGTGTACGTGTGTTGTAGGTGTGGCAGTAGAGTCGCGAAGCGAGCGTGGTAAGCGGAAAGAAAATCAAAACACACTTACGCACCAAGTAGAAGGATTTAAATCGAACAAACCGGTGGATATGTATGAAAAAGGCAGAGCAAACCACAACATCACCATTAACAACAGCAACAAAAATTCCTTCGCCACTGCACCCCTCAGACTCAGAAAATAGTCGTTACATCATGTGGCCGTCAATTACCATGTATCACGTTTCCCTCACTCTCACTCTCACTCCCACTCCCACTAGGTGCTGTCTGCTTGGGCTGCCCGTTCTCCGTTTGCTTCTAGCGGTCGTTTCAATTTTGTTCCCTGCATCTTTGTTTGGTTTGTTTGCCCCTCTCCTCGTCAGCTAGAAGAGGTCCCACGGAGTCCCACGAGTGTCTCATTGGCAGAGTTAGGGAATAAAACGGCCACAGAACAAAGAGAGAAATTACCACGGAGACAATATAAAAAATTAAAAACACAAAAGAAAAAAATGTTCTTCCGTTCCTCAGCAGTTAAAAATAAAAATAAAAACATGGGCGTTCTGGATCGGAGTTGTGGCGACGCTGCGGCAAGATCCAAAAAAAAAATATATATCAAAAACGACAATCAGCCCCCTCCACTTCTCCAATCCCCTCCCCTCCCCCCCCCACTAAACGGCAAAGGAACAAAATCCACGACAAGAAACAGCAAAAGAAAAAAAAAACATGTCGCCGCATCATGGATTTTGTTCTTCTGTATGGCTCCCGCCTCTTGTGGGAAATACATCTTCTACTTTTCAATCAAATGAAACAAAACCCTCCCCTCTCTTTCTTTTTCCCACGCTTTTTCTTCGTGACCGCTCTTTGCATACGCAATAAATACAAATGATTATGCTCAGGGCCTTTCTTCACGCACTGTTGAGCTTACCTCGACAGACCCGTGTGCCCATAGCCTCGTTTCTCGCAGTCTTCACCCCTTAGGGAGCAAAGGCGGCACGGAACGTCACCTCCCCTTCGCACAGGTATGATCGAGCCCCTCCATCTTCACCGCAGAAATACCGACCATCGGTTGACGGTGTTGAGACAGCGCTTAGCTCTTCCCGCGATAGGATCTCACTGAAAAAATTTTCCACCGTGCGCCACAGCCGCTCGAGTTCAATCCGGCAGCTTAGCGACAGTAGCGCTCCTGCGGCCCTCGTCTCAATAGTGTAGGGAAGGAAAAATACTCGCTCTTCATTTTCCTCAACCCCAAGGCGCTCCACCCGCGCATTGAAGTCGCACTGCTCCTGTAGCCAGAATCCATCTTTGTCTACAAGCACAACTATGGGCGGTGGGTCATAAGTAATTGGTGAGGGAAACCACTGCTGGATAGAGCCATCACTGCTATTTATCACCAACCGCTTGAAGCGATCCTTCGCCGAGGGCGAGGCTGCAACCTGAGGCTGGGGTGCACCCCGAATCCCAAAATCACCACCGGTCTCATGAGAAGGCGAGGTACCCACTGCGAATTGACGCAGGGGCACTGTGGTATCCCACCCAACGAAAGGGTCGACGAGAATCACCCCCTGACAAAAGGCGCGACGTGCCACCTCCGTGTTTGCAGCCGCATAAGCGCCCACGTGAAGCAAAGGATAGCGACGCTCTAACAAGAGAAGCACAAACATCGCCCCAAGGTCGCTTCCTCCAATGAGAACACGCCTTGCATGTGTCCTGCGCCTTCCAGACTCCATCATTTCAAAAATAACATGCACCGTCTCTGAAGCTCCACCAGCAGCATCTATCGGAACTGTTACAAGGAGAGCGTCGCAACCCAATGAATGCGCCAGCCGAAGCACGAAACGCAAAGCAACAGAAATCTCACTTTCCCATGGCATCACCAGCCACACCAAGAGTGGAATATCTTCTACTGGATACTGTTCATGAGCACTTGTCATGCGCAAACCGAGCCGAGGTGCCGCGCCGACATGCGTGGCGCCTGAGGCCAACCCTGACGTCGTTGAAGAGCGTGCTTTAAAGCGGTATAACCAGACATTGTCAGTGATTTTCTCCCTCCGCTGCTTCGCCTCGGCAAGCGTAGTAAACGGTTTTCCGTAGAATGACTGCAGCGTTTGTCGGGAATAACCTCCCATGAGGTTTGGCACGCGTTGGGCAAGAAGCATCAGACCAGCCACAGCCTGCCGGTGATCCATCTCTGCTTCATCAGAGCGTGCTGCCCGAGATGAGTCAGCGGCCACAGATGCACATCTCACAAGCTGCTGTCGCTGATGGAATCGTTTTCTACGCAGCCCTTCAACATGGTTTCCGTACTGCCAAATGAGGAGAAACTCGATGGTACGAGCTTTGAAGCTCATTAGAGCGCTCGTGGTCTGCCCCAACACCATGTCCACTACGGTGACGACACCACTCCACATCTATTCTCCACTTTTCTTTACTGTTTTTTTTGCCCCCTTGTTCCCCCTTTTTTGATAAACACTTTTGACAAAACTTCCTCTTGTTTTATCTCCTCAACTTACTCTCTCAAGTTGCCTGAAACGCCCCTTACCGGGTTTAGCACTGACCTCTTGTTGCCCTGACTCCCTCAACACCTACCACTTTTAGCATTGCATGCAGAGGAGGCAGGGAAAACGACATACTGAGCGGGCAGACGAAGTGAGAAACACAACTCTCCCTATTCTTCTCTTTCCACACACACAAGAGATTAGGACGGGGAGGACGTCTTAGTGAAGGTAAACTTCTCTACAAAAAAAAACACACACACATTTGCGTGTACGCATATAAGCAAGGTATAAAGGGGCAGGGTCCGTTAGCTGCTTCCCTTTGAAATTATACACAACACAGGTCATTTTCCGTATTGTTTGCTTTTGTATTATTACCCCATTCAAACACCATTCCCCTTTTTTTAAAAGTGTATGTTTTATTTTTAAATTCTTTTCTACGTCCGTGCTACCCCCAGCCTTCGTATAGATGGGCAGCTAACGCTAACAATGTCCATCTCCGTGATTCTGGACCCTGGGATCTCACCCTCTAAGAGCACAGGCGCCATGATGAAGCGAAGGCCGCCTTTGTGTGCTTCAAACTGCTCCATTGACTGATTGCGCCACGGCTTCTCGACGCTGCTGATGGCCACTGTAAACACATGGCCACGGACTCCTAACTCAGAGGAACCGCAGCAGAACACAAAACGTCGACGGTACCATGAGAAGCGCGCCACGCCCTCAATCAACTCCCTGCTTGTGTCACTGTACTCTATAAGCAGCTGCACTCGACCAATTGGGTGGTTCATTTGACCAAGCGAGGCAGAGGAAAAAAACAGCGTCGCTGCCTTAATGTGGTAGTTAAAATCCTCCGCAAAACTAGGCAAATACTGCGGCATATCTCCTCTCACGGCACTGTCACATCGACCTCGTTCTATATCAGTCAACTGTTCGTCCGCAGAGACTGCTTTAAATGAGTATTGTCCGTGAAGGGCCCTTGTGGTGATGATATCATCAATAAAGTATCGATAGTAACCCTGCGTGGGTGTATTGGGCAAATCAAGAAGCGGCCGCAAATTCATGCTGTGAAGAATATTTTTCCACACCTTATCGTGTGTCGCAAGTTTATAGAATTCACTACACACCAACATCACTCTACACACCGTGTAACAATCACAAAAGTGTAAAATACAGAACAAACAGTCAAAGCTCCACCAACGAGGTCTGCCATTGGGTGGCATAAAACTATCTGACTTATCGATCGCTGGGCTGCACATGTGATAATCCTCCCTTTTCTTTCTCTCTGTAATATCGTCACTATCTTCCATGACCTCAGTGAAGCAAAACATTCTCTCCTCATCGCTTGCGGTTAACTCAGTCCTCCATGAGCTGCTGCTTCCCAGGTATGATGTTGTGGTATCAGTGCCACTATTCTGCTGCGGTAACCCGTGCCCACCCCCATCACCACTACTAGCCGCAGTTTTACCGGTAGCAGCAGTAGCATGGTATGCACAGGCATCTCCATCACTGCTGCTTTCAAAGCTACTACTCCGGTCACTTTCCGTATCACCCTCAGGAACCATTGAACAAAGGTTCATAGCCTCATTACGCTTTACCGGGGCAGAACCAGCCGTCGGTGCATCCAGGGTGTCAGACACAACCTCCACTTCTTCGTAACCATCATCAAAGAATGAATTGTGGTGCAGTCGCCGTGGCGGCGTGTTTGTGTCAAATTGATCTTGCGCAGCGCTCGTGTATTTCTGGATCCCACTCATGCATCAAGGTAGAGACGCCGACCACGACAATGATCAATTCGCCAAACGGTAACACAAAATATCCTTTCCCTCTCCTTCTTCCGCTTTCTCGTTCCCTTTCCTTCTGTCCGCCACCGTTTGTTGCTCACTCTTTTCTTTTTCTCTTTCAGCCAATTAGTGGCGCGATGCTTCCCTCGTTCGCTCTTTTTGCTGGTTTTATGGAGGTGTGTGCGCCACAAATACACAAACTAAGGGAGTATAAGAAAGAGGAATAAAGCCAAAGAGAGAGAGAGAAAGGTGAATAACCGTCTTGCAGCAGTCCAAAAACCACAAAAGATGAGAAATGTATTTCAGCCACAATGAATTTCAACCTCTCCTTCCTTCTATTTCTCAATCTTGTTACACGAAACAGGTATCGTGAAAACCCTGACGCATCCTCTGCTGGATCCACACACATCTTCATTACTTCATTTTGGCACGAAGGGCAGCCAACATCGCCTGCAGCCCTGAGAGTTTCCTCTCTTCCTTCGAGGGCCCTGTAGGTTGTTGGTGTTCCTTTTGAGTTGCCTCAACAGAGACCTCCCTCTTTTGTTTCTTCTCGTTCTTTCCTGAGACGTCACCCGTGTCACGCGGGCGCTTATAATGCAGATTGGACTTATTTCGGTTCAGTTCTCGTTCCTGCGGACGCCTATTGGCGGCACTTTCTACTTCTGCCGTGACTGCTACCACCCCCGGTTCTCTCTCGCGCTGTTGCTGCCCTTCCTCCTCTCGCTGATAACGACGGCCCTTTGTGCCATTCCCTTCTCTGGTTGAGTACGCTGCGCGTTTTCGCTGATGCTCTTCGCGAAGCCTCCTTGCAATTTCAGATGCGACCTCGCCGTAGCGCTGCCTCGTAGCGTAAAAAGACTTCGGCGGCTTTCCTCTCCGCAGCTCGCCTCCCGTCTTCTGCATCCACCGCGCCGTACTTTCTTTCCATGCTGTCTCCAAGCATGCCCGCTCCTCTGCCTCCTGCCGCTCACGCTGTCGTCGCGCCTCGGCTAGACGGTACATGTAGTGCGGCTTTGCAGGGAGCGCTGTGACCTCCACCTCACGCCAGAGGGCACCAGAGAGCACCGACATGACGTTTTTCGCACCCTCGACTGAAAAATGCGCATAGCGGCGCACACGCCCTTCCCTGTCAAGCCCCAAGTCAATGCTATGCGGCTGGGCTCCCGTGCGGTTCCGGACAAATTCTGCTATGTCCCGCTTGGTACAATCCAAAGGAATGTTTTTTAGGCAAATACGTTTCGAGGGATCCATTTATTTATTTATTGGTCTTCACACTCCCTTATTGCTCTTCCCGCCACCCCTCCTCTTGTCAGCTCTCAGCAATTCCCGTTGGGGCCACGTGGTTCTCCCGATGTGTATGCAGGGGACAGGAAATGGGAGAGGATGTGTGCGTGGGAAAATCGTCGTTACTCGGCCCCTGTCCTATTTCCCGCGGCGCCCTTGCTCCCCCGCCCTCCAAACACTACGAGAAGCAGAAAATAACCATATATATATATATATATGCGAAGAAAGGCAGAATGAAGAGTAAGAGCGAAAAAAAAATGGAAACAATAATAATAAAGAAAAGAAGTAAATGGTTCATAAAGGGCCACACGCACGTAGAGAAATGTTGCAAACACCCAAAGCTTTGCAGGAAGTGCTCATGTAAATCGGCGCAACTCACTCTTCTTCTTCTTCAGTTGCATATTTTTACCTTTTTTCGCCTTCCCTCAGACCCTTAGTGTTTTTCACATCTCTTCGATTTCCCATTCTTCTACAGCTATATTGTGCTCCAAGTAGAGATAGCCCCCCAACAGATGGATACAGCAAGATGCACACCCTTTACAATTACATTTCGTTTTTCCCCTCTCTCACCCAATAAGTCCGCCAGCACCTTTTAGCGAATGTCCGTATGGTGGTCAATTTCCATGTAGGTGTAGTTGCATAGCTTTTCCCAGCTCCCTGTGCGGGCAACACGTTGATTGTAGATGCGCCGCAACTCGTGGACTTGACATAGTTGAGGCACTTTACATTGCGGCACCTCAACGGTGCTCGTTCCGTCATACGGTGTCTTCAGAACGATCTTCACATAAACGGGTCCCTTCTTTCCAAGACGCAGTAGCTCTTTCGGTTCTAGCTTCTCAACGATAAGTGTAGAGGCAACGGGAAGCTCACTGCGCGGAAGGCAGGGAACATTGTACGTGAAGCCAAAGAATTCCGCAAGTGCGTAGAGCCCCTCACGATGAAGAAAGTAAAAGATAGATTCCTGTCGTGTGTCTACAAAATCATCTATCTGCTTCTCTGTCGGTAGATGACTGCCTTCCAGCATACGAAGTAAGCGGTGCGGCAGATCCACAGCCGTGTAAGTTTTTTGTTCATCTGTATTATAAAGTCGTGCCAAGAGAAGCCGCATAGATACATTGCGGATTTGAAAAAGCATGTCAGGTGCAACTCGACCACCACAAACCTTTAAGCCATAATCCCCATTAAATATCATGCCATCAGCCACAGTTTTGATGTAGGCAAACAATGAAGGTGGTTCCTTCGTGGGCTTCCCGCATACGTGTTTCATGTAGCGTAACACATTTGCGACATTCGCGTCGGCAACAAACTCTGCAAGACTTTTATTGACCCACTGCTCCACATCTTTCTCCGCACGCCTAAAGCAGGGCACATCGTCCAGCAAGTACTCGTGTGTGTCCATGTCAGAGAAGACAGGAACAAACTGCGGTCGATTGGGAAGAAAAGCACCGGGGCCAAAACCGTCAGGAAAAATCCCTTGTGCGACTGCCACGGCGGACTGCAAAATACGAGGCTCCCCCACTGCACGGAAGAAGTGTAAAGTGCGGTTAAAGCGTTTACCAATGAAGCTGGCATATTTGCGCCGAAGGTATTGCCCCAATTCATACTCTTCCTTCATGCCCAGCCCCGTGACATCCTCTGAGTGCACATCGTATCTGCGCCGGTTTTTTAGATCGTTAGGACAAAAATCCCAATAGGGTGCATTCGGAGCGCGGTGCCCATGACGGTTAATGACAAAAAGTTTGGTAAGAGCAAGCTCGCTTCTGTGATGCTTCCCATGCCCTTGTTTCTTTTCTAGCGTCTTCTCCAAGCGCGAAGTGGGCGCCACCGTGGTATGGGGATGACATCGGGGACAACTCTCTGAAGTTGCAGCCGCAACTGCGGAAAATTCCTGCAGAAAGCCGCTGACCTCCGTCAAAAGTAGTAGCAGAGCTATATATACAAGCAATCTTCCACTTACCCCTGCCATGCTTGCCGTCACTGCTGCCGCCAAAGCCACTCGTCGTTGGAGTCCTCCGAGATACTTCTCACAGCCAGACGGGCACAAAGAGCTGTTGCTATCCCCAAGAAGGATAAATATGGGGGAAAAATTCACGTCTCTTGTTTCTTCTCAGTCGTTGTCTTTCTCTTGTTCTTTTTGCGTGGTGAATGCACGAAGAATATTACCTATGTATTCAACCTCGCCACCCTGTGCACGGATTCTACTTGGGGGAGAACGGCAGGTGCTCTGCAAAAAAGGTCACTGCGCAAGAGCAGCACGCGCACAAAACAAAGCAGCAACAATAAAAAAAAAAGCTAAAATCACAGAGAAGCGTATTCACAATTCATGGTGCATGCAGGCTGCATTATCATCCCCACCACCACCACACGCGCACGCATAGAAAGATACGAAAAAAATATATATATTCTTTCCACCTCGCTCTTCGCTATGCCCCTCTCCTGCTTGGTCCGGATAATGGGATTTGCACTGCCAAGAGGAGAGCCACAATGAGTCACAAAAGGTAGAGAAAACAACAACAGTAACAACAGAGATATGACCGCATTTTTCCCATGTTTCTTTTTCCTCCCCCACCCCTTTCCCTTACTGAGAAGGAGCTAGAAAGGAAAAAAAAGTGGGACAGGGGGTGTGGCGCTGGCACCGCAGGTTGTTCCCTTTGTGTCGATGGAGGCTCTCAACTGCAGCCGCTGTCGTTGCAATCATCCTCCGAGTTGCGCACCTTCACCGCTCGACGTCTCCGTCGCTCGTGTCAACGCGGCATGTGCGCGTTCATACCGTCGGATCCTGTCCTCCATGGCACAACGCAACTGCGCCTGCCTGTAGCGCTGCTTCTTCCCCATATCCGCACCAGTCAGAGAAAGTAGACTGCACCCACGCTGACATGTCCCCAGTGCCTTAGGAATGCGCTTTGGCGGCAGCTCGAGCCGCACCACCAACGGCTTCACGCTCATGTCACTACTATCGTCTTCCAGTGTCATCTCCGCTTCTCCCAGCCCCCCATCACGGAAATTCTCAATACGGATGAGCAGTTCTCCATCTTCCTGCATACCCGCCAGGAGCTGAATCAAGGCAGATATTTCCTCAGCATCACTAACCTCACCTGTCCCGCAAAGGGAATGGATTCGAAAAGCAGAGAGGATGTCGGACAGGTACATACGGTTTGCAACCATTGCCAGATCGCGAATGACATGACGCCGCAGCCGAAGCCCAGCCTCAACAACAAACTCAGCCGTTCCATCTTGCCTCCACAAAAAGTCAAAGCGTTTCTCAAGGGTGTTCCACAGTTTTCCATCACGTTGTGCCGCTGCGGATAGCAACCGAAAGTAGGGATCGGTGTTACGTCCACGGCATACTTGCATAACACGCTGTGCTCGCCTGCGGTCAGCAGGATCGTGAAAGCCACCTTGAGATATGATGGCCACGAGCACAAAGGCTTTCACCGCCTTCAACAGTATATCACAGATAGCTCCACTCTGCCCTAACGCAGTCACAGGCGACACAGGGGAGGTTGTTGTGGTCGACGCTTCTGCTACTTGGACTTCCAATGACGCTTGACGCTGCAAGTGTTTTGGCACGCTTACGGCCAAACGTAGCCACACCATCGCATCTTCCCAACACTGCATGGCAGCGAGCAAGAGACCGCCCTCGCAGTAATAACTATGGAGGTATGTGACATCCGCCCCGGTGTCCACCGGTGACACCTCCAGTACGGGTTGACGCATAACAGCAAGTGCAAGCCCCGGACAACGACAGCGTGCTGCCTCCCGCACAAAAAGTGGGTGGGCGACGGTAATGTATTCCGGTGAGGGAGCGAAGCTGATGGCCGCCCGGTAAAGATCAAACAGATTATCCTGATAATGCACTTCACATGGGGAGTTTAAAATCTCAATGTAACCCTTTAACAATTGTTCAAACCTCTGCAGGGCATACTTGTGACCACGGAGATGTCTGTACGCAGTAGAGCCAGGGGATAAAAGGCAATGCATAACATCCACCACACCTTTGACAGTATCACTGTCTCTGACTTCACTAAGGATGATAGCCGTCGTCAGGTACACCAGACCCAGCGTGACACCGCACGTTAGCACTGGGCCCTGCTTACAGTTCGTAATGTCGGAGGGTACAGCATCATCAGAGGGTACCGCTACTGCAGTATCCTCTAGTCTAAAAGTCAGCAGCTCTCTCAAGGGAATATAAAAGTGATCAGCCTCAGCAACGAGTTCAGGCATGTGTTGCTCCAAAGCAGTTTCAAGTTCCAAATCATGCTGCGTACTGGTTGGAAACATGGTCATTTTGGGGAATAGGATAGGAAGCATGTTTTGTATGTAGTTCCCACTCCCCGTCTTCTTCCTTTCTTTCTCCCAGGTGCAAGGGTATCTTGGTGGAAGCAGCACGGCAAAGCCAAAATACAAAAAAAAAGGAGGAATACGAAGCTTCAACACGTAGGGGCCTGTTTGAGGTGTGACCAATCGCCATCTGAAGAAAAAGAAAAAAAATATGGAGAAGCCGTGCCAAGAAGTGATCTCCATATGCCTATCTCAACAAAGCATCTATAAATGCGTGTGGTCCCCCATGCCACACGTAAATCCCACCTTCTCAGTTCCCCAATCACGCCTCCTTCTGCTGTCATTTTGGTCCATTTGAATAAAGAAAATAGCAGAGAGAGAGAGAGAGAGAGAATGAGTGCGCGTGAGTGCCTGTACGCAGGAGAAGCTGAAGGATCACTTGCCACTCCAGCGCGGAGCAGATAAACATCTATAGGAATCAACGGCCCCTTGCCAAGGATGTGCGTTGGATGGGGGTCTGTCACCGCAATGATATTAAGCTCCCCCCTCTTTTCGCCGATTCCAAGGCACAATATCGACAGTGAAAACCCGAGAGACGGTTTCAACAGAGCAGCGATCGGCCGTTGAAGACTCTGCGCGGATGCACCAGCGCCCAGGAGGAAGAAAAATAGGCTGCGTATACGGGCACCATTGCACCGAGCTCATGTTGTCTACGGTGTAGCGCACAGACTCCGCCACTTCACGAAGTAAAGGCAGTCCCACACTTCTGCCACTCTCATCAAGCAGCCACGCCGCGCGTTCATTAGGCTCCACAGTGACACGAGCACCATATGGTAGCGTCACGGTGCGTCTCGTGCGCTCCATCATTGCTGCCTCCACAAAAGCCGCGGCATCCTCTTTAAGCACAACGCCGCTACTCTGCACGGTATACCGCGCAGCTGTGATGCTTACAGGTGTGGCAGAACTAATCCGGGAGGAGAGCGGCAAAATGATAGGGGGTGGCACACATCCATTAGTGTACGGTCTCTGCGAGACGCCGCGCACATCTGGGACGCGCCCACCACTTCGTGTGTAGGTCACATCAACAACACCTTTATACTTTTGCTTGGCAGGCTCCTCCTGTTCATATTTTACGGGAGTGGAGCTGAGAGATTTCACCTCTTGCGATAACAGCAGCGGTCTCTCTTCAGTGTGGCGCATGCGCATACGCAACTGCTCGTCAGGAAGAACCAGTCGATCAAGATCCATCTCCACCGATCTCCCCGTCTCATCCACGTAGAGAAGCGTTAACGGTGTGCCATCTGGTAGACCGCAAGCTGTCGCCAAAGCAGACCTCAGCGACTTCGCGTCCGTAATGCACATCGCCTGAATGTCCACAGCCTGCGGGGTCCTGGAGAAATCAAAAAAGTGCAGCAGGTACCCACCCCCCTCTGATGCGTCGGCGTCAGCCAGTTTTGAATTGGTGCGTAGCTTGCGCCCCCATCGCAAAAAAATGAATACCAGCAGTGAGGCTACTAAAACAAAAACCACACACATCGCTACCAACACACAAATTTGAATCTTGTTCATTTTATTTCGTAAAAGCTTCTGTGCTATTCGACCTTTTCAACTTTCGTATAATGCTATGCAGGCAGCTGTAAACGCACTACACAAACGGCCTGGAATCAATGGCAAAACAGACGAGAAAAGTGAGGTCATGTATACGTCCTATACGCATCTTTGCAGTGAGAGAATACGACAAAGCGGCAAACGACAACACACACGCAGACACAACAGAAATGCCTGCACTTCCACCTCATTCTCTTCGCTTACAATTCTCGATAACCAACAGAGACGACACAAACGGCAACATAAAAAAAAAGTGACATTAAACTACAGAGATGAATATATAGAGAGGAGAAAACACACACAAAAAAACAAGTGATAACCCTCATTAAAGGTCTATGGGGCCAGTTAACAGCTACTCATTAGACACGGCCCCGACAGCGCCTGTCCCTGACTCAAACTTTTCCCCTCGGCTTGGAGCCAGCTGTAACCAGTCATCGTCCTCGCCGTCAGAAATAAGCACGACGTCCTTGACCGCCACAGGCTCTTTATCAAATGGCCCCGTTTGCGTCATCTACAGCAGAAAAACTTTCTACTCCGTCTTGTTTTCCCCGCCCGTGCCTTGCGTCGAAGTCTCTAAGGCCTCAGCACTGCGTATGCCAATCACTGCATTATCTTTGCAGGCACTCAAGACAGACAAATATTTGTAGATGCATGCAACATTCCTCGCCACCTCAAGCTGCCTTCTAGCAACCTCAGCGTCCCACATGGCCATCTCCATCAGCGTTGGGCTGCTGTCACAGCCACCCGCCTTTGCATTCTCCAGAGAGGTTTCTGACTCTTCGGCAGCGTCTTGCGCAGGAAGATCAATCAATACCTCTTTCCAAGAAACATTATTATCCGTTTCATCTGCCCCCATGGCCATCTCCGCCGTTGGGGTGCTGGCCAGGTCAGAAGTGCACGCTTCATAGCCACTGTTGGGCACTTTTTCTGCATCGGCAGGTTTGCCCCTCCCCTTTTTCTCTACAGGACTCTTTTTGAGCTTGCGCCCATTCAAGTTTCGAACCGGGTGCAAAAACGCATAAGAGAAGACTTGCGCTTCACGGAGGCGACCTTTGGTACCTTTCAATACCTTCTCCATGGGCCTACAGGCCAGGCAACTCTATGTGTGTGTAGTACCTCACGCAGGTGATGTGTAAGTTAAAAGGTAGAGAGAACAACAACAGGGCACGCTTCGTTGTTTCTTGCAGCTTCCCAAGCCACCGACTTTGTCCAGCGTGAAAGCGACCAAAACGTCCAGCAAACCCTCTTGCTGCCCCCTCCACGAAAAAATAATTAAAGAAAAGAGAGTGCTAATAAGTGCAGAAAAGTGATGATGTTTTTTCCAAGTAATAGTAATAATACGAATAATAGACGGCTGTGGCAAACCAAAAATAAATAAATGCACCAGCTGATACGCATATTTGTATGCAGACGTACACGTCCAGTCGAGAAGCAGCTCTGCGGGCCTAAACAACAGTTTAACTGAAGTTTACAATTGGCACAAAATGTTGGAAAATCAGACCACTCGCATCACAAAATTATTCCTCCACCTACAAAACAGCAGAGCTCTTGTCCTTGCTTTTGAGGTAGCATAAGTATGACTGTAGCTTCGTCTCATCCATGGAACGAAGACCGAACGGCTCATCCTCTCCCCACTGGTGAAGAACGGCAACAATGGCACTCAACAGCCTCATCTTCTCGGAGCTGTTTCCCCGGTTCGTGTTCCCGCCCAATTGCTCTTGCTCCCGACGACGAAGCGCTGCAGCCAGCACAGGATTCTCCTCCGGATTCGCTCGTGTTGGCACATCAGCGTGTGTCGATGATGACGTGCCAGTGTCACACATCTGCTGCTGCTGCGGCATTTCTCGTATCGGTGTCTCTACTGACAATACAGGGTGCTGCACATCCCGAGTCTGTGGCCTACCGCGCTGCATCGCCGCCTTCATACGCTCCTCAGCGGCCCGCATACGTGTGGCCCGCTCATCCCCCACCGATACGGGATTTGGGATCTGTTGCAGCTTCTGCGTCTGTCGTAGCTGTTTCGCCTTCGCAGCACACGCAGTGCACTGACGGCTATCATGCAGCTTGGGTGCACAGTCATCACACACGGTTTTTTTGCAGTGGTCACATTCGTGCCTCCAACGAAGAATCCCAAAGTGACGCTTGCACAGCGGGCATGCAGACGCGGAGGTCATCCCGGAAAAAAAGTGTAACACGCCTTCTAACAGGAGTCACACACACACAAACAAACCTTCCCTCAGCCAAGCCAGAAAGTAATTCGAAAAAAACAGAACAAGGAATACAGCAGCGGATTAGTTAACTGTTGTTCCACAACCACGCCACATACAACTGACGATGAAGAACAGTACGAGAACTACAAACAAACATGAAAAACACAATGGCACAAGAACAAAAAAAAAACAAAATAAAGAGTCAACAAATCTACACTTTCATTCCCTGGGCATACATGTACGTACATATCCATCAACAAAGTGACCCACCCTTTACATCAGCAACGAAAAAACCAACACAACATAAATATACTCCAAAGGCTTAATCTTCAAAAGACCTTGCTGCATCCAGTATGGTAGCAAACGTCGTGAAATCCACAGCAGCAGTTGATACCCCCGTCACTAACTTATCAAACATCTCATTTATTTCCTGATCCGTCAGACGTTCCTCCATCTCAGCCGCAGCAGTCTTGAGACTATCCTTGGTTATAAAGCCGGGATAGTTTTTATCCTCCAGCAGGTGAAACGTAAACAGCAACTCCTGCTCGTACGTGCGTCTATTGAGCACCTTCAGCACTACAGCAACAAACAAAGTTGAGCCCACTGCATCTTGATCCCCATTCGGACCCTGCGGCATACTTCGACCAGGGGGGTTTGATCTCCGAGGAGAATCAGCACATACAGGCGTCTTTTTCCCCTCCGCCTCCTCCTTCAACTCCTCCTGCACTGCCTGTACAAGCAAGTGCAAATCAGAGCGAGAAATCCGAGAACCAGTGATAGTGTAGAGCGCACGCGATAGCTCCTGCATCGAAATACTACCAGAACCCTCCTCATCGAACGCATTAAAAACATCGAGAATATCTTCTCGCAACGTATCAAGCGTAGACATCAACACCACGTATACTTCAACAATCGTATTCCAAATCCCTACAACGCTACTACACAAAAGAAAAATATGCTCTCGAACGAATAATACAAACAAAGAGTCAAAAACAAAGCACAAATAATATATATAAAAATAACCAATAATATTAAAAAAAGATCACAAACAATAGCAAGAAACTCATCTTCATCAGTGCCGTATAACAGCAATGCATCAAAGGATCAGACTCGTCTTCCAATAGTGTAACATAGCAATTTCATCACATCTGTGGAGAGTAGTGCGGCGCGCTCTTGCTTCTCGCACGTCACCCGACCGCAGAGCAACTCGTTGGTGCCAGTACGGCTTGAAATGAGTGCTTTGCACGGGAGTGTGGAGGGGTGGGGGCGTAGGCACACGGTCGGGCTCAGATGTTCTTTCTCGATATTGTTTTCCATTCGCTGCTCACTCATGACAGGTGTCGGTGTGTCGCGATGCGAAGAGAATAATCATCACAATTCTCGCCCAGACGTTTGCAGGGGGGCACCAAAAAAAAAAAAAAACGGAGATAGAGGACGGAAATCGTGCGGGTGCAAGAGAAGGAGTCAGGAGGCAATGGGATGCGTCTGTGCACATGGACACAGCGACTGTGCAGCGTTGTCGCCTAAATGTG